TTTTTCTTCATGAATAACTTTTAAACCTTCAATAATTTGTCCAAGAATCTTAATTTTATGTTCCCATTTTAAATTTTCAAAATCTTCTGTCAAATAATTTTGAAGACTTCCATCTTTTATATATTTCATTACAAATATATATTTTTTTGTAACTGGATCTTGTGTTAATCCATAAATTTTAATTATATCTTCATTATCATAAAACTTCATATAATTTTTGAACTAAAAAATATTTAATTACAACAATAATAATCAGTAGTATTTAAAAATCTTAAACTAATATTAATAAAATAATTTACCTCATTAAGAAATTCATCAGAAATGTTATGTAATTTTTTTAATGCCACAGTTCTATTTTTACTACATCTTTTTTTATCACCTGGATACTTCTTACCATTTAACCAAGAAGCTTTGTATATAGTTGAAAAGCCACCTTCACCTATCTTTTCAATCTTTGTTAAATCATCATAAGAAATCCATAAAAGGTAATATTTATTATCATACTCAATTGCTTTAAGTTGTGTGCTTTTAATCAACTCATCTAATGTTTCATTGCCACTAGTCCATCCTTCAGTTAATGGCTTTGGGTCACATGATTGACACCATAAATCATTAGTATTATATTTATAGCAAGTTGGACATGCCCCATATTTTTTATCTCTATTATATGGATCTTCATCATTTTTATAATCAATTACAAATATATATTCTTTTGTAATTGGATCTTGTGTTAATCCATAAATATGAATTGTATCATTTTTAAGCTTCATATAATTTTTGAACAATAAGATATTTAATTACAACAATAATATTTTAAAAAATCTGAAACAAATATTAATAAAATAATTCACCTCATTAAGAAGTTCATCAGAAATATCTTGTGGATTATGTAATTTTTTTAATGCCACTGGCTTATCTTTAATAGTTTTTTTTTTATAATTTATACTTTTATAACCATTTAACCAATTAGCTTCATATATAGTTGCAAAGCTACCTTCACCTATCTTTTCAATATTTGTTAAATCATTATAAAGAATCCATTGAAGATAATATTTATTACCATATCTTGTTGTCTGACCAATTACGATTTTTGTGTTTTATCATTCAAAATGGAAAATTTATATGCGGAAGAGGATCAATACCATCAATATGATGATGACGATAATAGTAGTGTATTGTTGATGATAATTTTACATGAGAATGAATAAACACTTCCAGTACAAGGTCCAATAGTTCATTGGCTTCAAGTTCCAATGATTTAAGTGGTGGTTCCAGAAGACCTTTAAAAAAACGAATCGTAACACATAGTTTTATGTGGAAGCATTTTGAAAAAGTGAAAGATTCAAATGGAAATGAATTGTAATTTGCAAATTAAAAAAAAAAAAAAACGAATTATTATTATAAAAAAAAAATTTAGTTGACTAAAGAAAATTTTGACCAACTAGTAGTCGACTAAGGATTTTTTGGACGATTCTAATCTCTAGCTTTCTAACCTTATTTATTAAGTGTCTTTAATTGTTTGTCTACGCGAAACATTTTTTCTTGTTATATATAAATATTAATTTATTATTATAATTAGCTGTTAATAATAAGGATGTTAGCCGAAATGGTTTTTGAAAAAATCAATTTCGGCAAGCAATTTCGGTTTTACAATAAAATATTCTTTATATCAATTGACATAAAAAAATTACTCAGGATTTTGGCTATTGAGTTAAAGTGTTCAAATAATCTCAGATATAATTTCGACAACTAATAAAGTTGATTTTGGTAATTATTTCGGCATTTCGGATTCGGCAATCATTTATTAAGGGAGGCAATTTCGGCTAACATGCTTAGTTAATAATTTATTCTCTTTGAATAATAAGCTTAGGAGAAACCCAAACTTCCCAATCTTCTTCTTTATCAATGTCACCCAACAATCTTAAAGCACGAATTCTCAAATGATAAGCACCGTTTGGTAAAATTTCTGGATCTTCATCACTATTAGTAGCATTATTTTTTGAGCCAGCCCAAAGTAATATTAAAAATTTATGTGAACCAGTTTTTGTAAGATACTCATTATATCCGGCTAAAAGCCCACCGACACCTTTACCAGGTACAAAACCTAACAATTTTTGATTTTCATCTAGTACCTGTACAAGTAATAATTTTGTTGGTGTTGATAATGATATTAATATAATTGGAGCATCTGTTTTATTTTTCATTCCATAAGTGGCTGTTTCATTGGGAAAATATAATGATTTAGAGTCGTAGTAAAGTTGTGGATAATCTGGTTTTGCAAATATTGGTAACGTTTTTGCGGCACCTTTTAATCCAACTAAATAAATCATGTAAATTAAAAAATAAGATATCATTGTAATATATATATATATATATATACGCATATGTACGAACATACCATATGGAACAGAAATAATTGGATCATCGCTATCTACAGGAACAAATTTTATAAATCCACTATAAAACCAATGTTCAGATGACGGTAAATCTTTTGGTGGTGTTATTTTTAATGTTATTTTTTCTTTTCCAAAAGGTTCAATTTTAATAAACACCCGTTTAAAATTTACAACTGCATATTCTCTACGATATTTCAATTCCTGTAGTAATAACTGTTTCTCTCCATCATAACCATTTACTGAAACAGCTGGCATATGAACTAAACGATATTCCAAATGTTTATCACAATAGTTTTCAATGCTAAGGTCATAATAACCATCTTTTTTACCATTGACTGTATCATTTAAAGCAAGTTTGAATGGATGAACAAACGCCATAGCTCTAATTGAATTATAAACATTTACTAATCCAGCACCTTGTCTTAAAACTGGTGGGACTATTTTGAATATTTGATCGTGAACTGGTATCGCATAATTCATTAAAGCCTTTTGAATAAAACGGTGAGAATTTTTTTCTATTTTATTGGCCTGTCTTATTAAAGCTGCTACACCAGATATATATGGTGTTGCCTAAATAACAATATATATGAATGTGTGTGTGTGTGTGTATATATATATTTTTTAAATAATATTTGAATAATTACCATACTCGTTCCCATTAAATTTGCATAACTACCAAGATTTATTGGAAATGTTGAAAAAATAATTCCACCTGGAGCTGCTATTTCCTATTAAAGTAGATTAGATAATTAATGCATTTATAATAATAATGATGATTATAAAATTTTTCTTTGATCAGTATGTAAAATATACTTACTGGCTATTAAAAGCAGCCATTTACATGAAATTAAAGATTAGTTAATTGTATTAATTTTAATATTGATTGATTAAAGAAAGAAATAATGATTAATACCTTGATGTCTAGATAAGGTGTTAATCCCCAAGATGAAAAATAGGATACAGTTCCACCAACATGACTTTGAATCATATAACCACGTTTATCAGAAAAATCAAATTCTAAACCACCCGGATTTTTTTTCAATCTTTCTACTAATTTATTTGCTTGTCGTGATAATATCGTAGCCATTGGTAATTTTAAACTTTTGATGTCGAAATTTGCTAAAATTGGATCAAATAAATCAACTTTTGATATTATCAATGCTAATAATTTATCAACAAATTCTGGCGGAAGCTAACATTGTAATGGAAATGGAGAATAAGTTTTATTATTACATGAATAAACTCAATAAAATGAAAGCATTTAAATTAAGTTAAACACGTACAGGAGGGCAATCTTTCTTCGATGTGCTATTGGAAGATAAATCAAGATATAGTATTTTATTATGATATACTGACAAATCTTCAGGACATGAATGTTTCGGAAACATGACAACCTCTCCTTTATCAAATGGTAAAGCCCTTGCTGTTACTGTTAAATATTCTAGAGAACAATCATTGTCATTTATATCATGTGCTTTAAAACCCAAAAAATGACTATTTTCAACAGAAGCGACCGATAATGATTTATATCCAAATGCTGAAGATATTGTTTTCCAAAGACCATCAAGGCCACTATTACCGTCGGCTACAGCCACTACAACGCCTGATTCTATCATTTTTCCTATTGAGTCTGATAATGGTGTTGATGCCCAGAAATTTCCTCCCTTAATATTAATTTTTTAAATAATAATAATAAATAAACAAACAAACAAACAAATTTAAAAATAAACAACACACACACATATATATACACAAGTAAGCAAAATAAATAATCACCAAAGACAAATTTACAATATCCATATTATCTCGTGAAGCTTGCTCCAATGCTTTTATAAGTGCATCATCTGAACCTTGACCAGAACAATCCATTGCTCTATATGCTCCAAATGTTACATCAGGAGCAACACCTACAAGTCCACTTGCATCATCCAAGGCACCGATAATACCTGCGACGTGAGTACCATGGCCATTACAATTATCAAGTGGGTCATCATCATCATCAACAAAATCAAATCCTACTTCCACTCTACATCCTGGACCAAAACATCCTCCAAATGCTGGATGTCTATAATCAATTCCTACAAAGATCAATTCATTCATATCATCTATTTGTTTTATGTATAAAAGCAAATAAAACAAAAAATGTGCAAATAATTTACCAGTATCAATAACACCAACTCTTACTCCTCTTCCAGTAACATCGAGATGTTTATGAACCCAATCAACACCTGTCATATGATGAGGCGTATTAAGATCTATTTTTGATGATAATATTAAAGGTGCATGTGAAATCCAATCACGTTTGTTTAAACCATTATTTTGATTGATTGATTTATTTATGAATTTTGGGCCTTGATGTATCATCTAAAAAGTACATATATTATATTATATTATTCAATTGCTTAGTAATTCTAAAAAAATAAATGATGATACATACTATGGGTTCAACAGAATCAACATTAGGTAAATCTTTAATAATTTCAAGATGATTTAAATGTTCAACTTCAAAACTTATTGCATTTATCAAATCAACAAATTCATGACGAACTTTTATGGAAATATTACGAATTTTTAATTCTTCATAAAATTCATTATGTTGTAATTTATAAATTTCTTTTAAATTAATAGTATTAATGGTAGCTGTGTCATTTTTAAAAGAAATTGTTGTTGATGTGATTGACGATATTGACACTGAGGATGATGTTGATGATTTGTAAGTTGTAAATCTAACATAAAATGCATTATTGATCACTTTAATATCAGAATTATATTTTTTTATTATACCAGCATTTACATAATAAATTAACAACGATGAAATTAAAAACAATAATATCTTTAGAAAATTTTTATTATTCATTATTGGGAGATAAAATTTTTATTTTTTACCAATTAAAGAGAAAAAATTGTATTTATAGCAGACTTTTATCCTCCACAGCCTCAAAGTGATTTATTATTATTATTATATATTATTAGATCGAACTGCACATAGGGCTTATATTCACGGATACCGTTAAGGTGGTTACACTTTGATTTTAATTATGGTTTCTATTCGAATAATAATGATAATGATAATAATAATATGCTATTGATAATAATAAGGTTTATTCGAATTATTCGTCATTATTATTATCATGAATTCGAGTATTTGAATTACATTGAAAGTTTATTCGAATAAAATAAATGGGTTCGAATAAGAATTTGTATTACGAATAGAAATCCTAATTTTAGTAGAATACAAACCCCAACTACACATTATTAATACTACTTAACAGTTTAGGTGAGTTTAAGATCAAACTTTGTTGGATGTTGAAAATAAACAAATCTTGTTTTATCAATCTGGAGGACACAAAGTCATGATAAACCTTTCTTCCACCATCCTAACCTTCTTTTATTCTTTCTTGTTTTGAAGACACTAATGTGCGTTTTGGGAAAGATTACTAAATGGATAAGCCTCTTTTTTTTTCCTTATAAATAATAAATAGTCCCTTGACTGCGCCATCCCTGATCTGTAGATAATTTCCAAACTTGGATAGCATAACGTGATAAAAACATGGGCACGTAAGACCAACAGTGGAAGGGAACATAACCATCTTAACGAACCAAGACCAGAATAAAGCTATGTGTTTGGATTGACGTTTAATGCTGGGTTTATTTGTGACTTGTCTGCAAAGGTTGTTTCGATAATAACGATAATAACAAGAGTGTTTTCATTAATCATAGATCCCGATTTTTGAAGAAGACAAATATTAATGCAATGCTATATATACCATAAGAATTATTATTAATGGTTATACTTCTTTGATGGCTATGTAACGATAATTAGTCGTTTAACCATAGATCCGTAGAAAACACAATATTATATATATACACGCACTATAGGAGTTATTATTAATAATCCTATTACCATTAATAATATATATCAACTAGAATATTTTTGATAGTCGCGTAACAATAGTCATCATTCAACCATAAAGGAAAAAACAAACATACGAATACACATAATATTATTACCCATTACCCCATTAGTAATATCAACTAAAATCTTCTTGATTATTACTATTAATATAAAAATCCGTTGTGGCAATTAATCAATTTTAAATAAAATTTTCTCATGTGTCCCGTTCATCCACTGTTTTTCAAAAATAGTTTTGTCCATCATCAATAATACTATTCTATTGTCCGCTCCTATATAATTATTACCCTAAAACTATAAAAGTGTGTGTGCTATTGTATATGCAATTCGCCTCTTAAGGCTTCTGGCGCAACGGATTTATGATGTTACGTATTTATATTTAGTCCAGTTGATCAAAGTGATATGAATATTATTTTTTCCAAAAGTATTTCTATCATTTATTTTGTATATAATTGAAACCCTTTTGTCTACCTTTTCACTGTCTGATTAAGTAAGTCATCAATTGAAGGTAAAAATCATTATCATATTTTCATGCCTTAAGTTGCGTATTCTTGATTAATTTTTATCTATTTTTTGATTTTCATTGAAAAATTACTGTCACACCTAGATAAATAATTTTTGTCCCTTTTAATACCTTTAATATTAGAAATTGTATAATTGATGTCAAATTTAGTAAAATATTTTATTTTTTATTTAAATTTTTTCAATTTAATTTTGATCTTATAAATATCTAATCAAATCAATTAACTTATTTATAGCAAGAAGTTAAGATTGTGTATTTTGCAACAGCTCGAGATGCGACAAATTTATCATCAGAAACAATTTCTTTGAATAGTAATAACGATAAAAATAATATAACAACACTTCAAGAAATCATAAATATATTAAAAAGTCGACATAAAAACCTTACACCAATACTTGAGAATTGTATGTTTGCAATCAATATGGAATATGTTGATAATGTTGATAAGAGCATGATAAAATCTGGTGATGAAGTTGCAATAATTCCACCTGTTTCTGGTGGATAATTAATTCTCACATTATCTACTAGCAAATATATAAAAAATTTAAAATGAATGATAAAGATTTATTTGAATAATTTCATTCAGGAATTGTAGAAAATTGATTTATGTGATGAGCGTATGATTGAAAGCTTGTGTGAAAATGGTAAATTAATTACTGATTAAATTAAATTATTGATATTTTTATTTTTATAATCTATAAGAAATTTTAATTTATAAAAACGTCATGTAGAAATAAATAAAATTATTTTAAAAATGTCAATAAAATTAATTGTCCAAAAAAAATTTATTGACATTACAATATTAAACATCGGTTTGCATTTCATCCTCCTCATCATCTGATTTGTCTTCTCTAAAACGTGGATTCTTTTCACGACCTTGATCTTCACGCCCTTGATCATCACTATCTCTTTCACGTTTCTTTGATGTAGTTCCTAGGTATTCATCATAACAATAAAAGATGTTGATCAACAAATAATTTTCAAATCTTAATTATTAATATTCAATGTGAACATATGATTACCTTTTCCTTTGTATTCACCAGCACCCATAGGAATAGAAGTAATGGCTTCGTATTCTTCTTTTTGTCTTCTTGCACGTTCTGCTTCATTTTTTGCACGAAGATGCCCCCATCCACCACGTCCTGTATCATAATCTTGCCTATATTCATCTCTGACCTTTATTTATTTATAAAATATAGATTGAATTATTTATACACATAAATAAATAAATAAATTCTATAATATATATATATATTATATATACCTGACCACCAGATCTACCTCTTCCAAATTGTCTCCCATCTTTATACCCAGGATCTAAATCTGTTCTAATAATTCTTTCATCTAATTTGGTGCTATTAATATATTTCATACAATCTAATGCATCTTGATGTGAATAATACCTTTACACAATAATTACAAAAAAAAATTTTCAAAGGTTAATTAATATCAAGTACTCTTTTTTTTTTCTTAAAAATAAAAACTCCAACTTACTCAACAAAACAAAATCCACAAGGTGTTCTTTGAAACTTATCCAATCCCATAATTATCCTCTTGATTTCTCCTGCTTTTGAAAATAGTTCATAGATCTGTTCTTCTGTTGTATAAAATGATAAATTTCCAATATACAAAGTTGTACTGTTGGATAGATCTTTGCTAAGTTCTACAGTAGATCCCTAATTTAAAAATAAAAATTTTCTGATTAGTAGAGAAATTTAATTGAAAATTTCACTTGATAAAATCTGGTGATGAAGTTGCAATAATTCCACCTGTTTCTGGTGGATAATTAATTCTCACATTATCTACTAGCAAATATATAAAAAATTTAAAATGAATGATAAAGATTTATTTGAATAATTTCATTCGGGAATTGTAGAAAATTGATTTATGTGATGAGTGTATGATTGAAAATTTGTGTGAAAATGGTAAATTAATTACTGATTAAATTAAATTATTGATATTTTTATTTTTATAATCTATAAGAAATTTTAATTTATAAAAATGTCATGTAGAAATAAATAAAATTATTTTAAAAATGTCAATAAAATTAATTGTCCAAAAAAAATTTATTGACATTACAATATTAAACATCAGTTTGCATTTCATCCTCCTCATCATCTGATTTGTCTTCTCTAAAACGTGGATTCTTTTCACGACCTTGATCTTCACGCCCTTGATCATCACTATCTCTTTCATGTTTCTTTGATGTAGTTCCTAGGTATTCATCATAACAATAAAAGATGTTGATCAACAAATAATTTTCAAATCTTAATTATTAATATTCAATGTGAACGTATGATTACCTTTTCCTTTGTATTCACCAGCACCCATAGGAATAGAAGTAATGGCTTCGTATTCTTCTTTTTGTCTTCTTGCACGTTCTGCTTCATTTTTTGCACGAAGATGCCCCCATCCACCACGTCCTGTATCATAATCTTGCCTATATTCATCTCTGACCTTTATTTATTTATAAAATATAGATTGAATTATTTATAACATAAATAAATAAATAAATTTTATAATATATATATATATATTATATATACCTGACCACCAGATCTACCTCTTCCAAATTGTCTCCCATCTTTATACCCAGGATCTAAATCTGTTCTAATAATTCTTTCATCTAATTTGGTGCTATTAATATATTTCATACAATCTAATGCGTCTTGATGTGAATAATACCTTTACAAAATAATTACAAAAAAAAATTTTCAAAGGTTAATTAATATCAAGTACTCTTTTTTTTTTTCTTAAAAATAAAAACTCCAACTTACTCAACAAAACAAAATCCACAAGGTGTTCTTTGAAACTTATCCAATCCCATAATTATCCTCTTGATTTCTCCTGCTTTTGAAAATAGTTCATAGATCTGTTCTTCTGTTGTATAAAATGATAAATTTCCAATATACAAAGTTGTACTGTTGGATAGATCTTTGCTAAGTTCTACAGTAGATCCCTAATTTAAAAATAAAAATTTTCTGATTATTAGAGAGATTTAATTGAAAATTTCACTAAAGAAAAGAAAACTTTGAAGTACTTGATACTGATGATCTTTGTATGATGAAGGAACACAAAGAGGAAGAACAATGTTAGCCATTATATATTCCTTATATATATGAATAAGTGTTTATGTTAAAATATATTAATATTAAGCACAATTATAGTTCAACTTCATTTACTGTTAATTATTATAAATAGTCATGTGCAAAAATTTTTATAGATAAAATAAACAATGAAGTTAGCGACAACTTAAATTGACCCATTTATGATTCGCCTATTATTGAGTAAATCCCGTTACACTAAATCAGGAAGATCCAAATCCTAATTGTGGCATCGTTGCTGCTGCCACCAGCTAAACATATCCTGCCGCAATTTAAAATAGCAGCAGAGAAGTCAAATCCAAGTAAGTCACAATTATAAACGATCAGGTCTCTCTCCATAAGTTTTCGTATGCAAAAAAATGTCTCTTGTGTTACAGGCAGCATTAACATCTCGATTCCAATGTGTCAGGCAGACTGATTTGCAGACTCTGACAGTCCAGAATTTTTGATGCTTATCAAACCACATCCATCACACAAAGAACATATGGAACTCGTCAACGGTCACCACATTGCAGTGTCTAGAAAACTCTTGACAAAATTCTTTTACAGGACCTGGAGAATGTCTGCGTGATGTTGATGTTGATGAAATTTACCATTGCCAAATGTAAAGTGTCCGGGTCCCATAAAAATTTCTAAAAAAAAATCATATATGCTATTTGCTTCCTTATTATTATGCGTACATTTATAATATTTCTTCCCTATGATATATATACACCGTGCGCACTATGCGCAAAAAAAAAAAAATCAGAGCTACTATGAATGGCATATCTCTAGGTGAAAGGTATGTAAGTAATATTATTCAATGATATTTTTGTTTAATAGAAAATTAAATTAACAAAGTATAGTTCACCTCGAATAACAGCCTGAAGATTTTTTTTTTCAAACAACTCATTTTTTTGCAACCCTGCTAAGTTCCAGTACTCCTTGTTGTAACTTTTTCATCTGAACTCATTGCTACAAACAGATATATCCTTCCAGGATCCAGCCTAAATAATTTGCATTCATTCAAATCAATATTCGATCCGTATTTGTTAGCATCTCCTTTATTATCATCAACTTTTTTCTGCAGACCATCAGTTTATATGGAATAAGCAAAGATTCGATTCTGGGTGGTGATTTTATTAATATTAAATGCTTTCGTCTGTCTACCAAGCTTCCCTTCCAGCTCTGAATCTTTGAATGGTTGTTATCAATTGATTTGTACATGTAAAATAAAGCAACTAATATGTACTTTTGTTGGAAAGAGTATTCAGACAGAAGTGTGGAGAGATGAGGGCCATGTTTCCGGTTATGCTTGATAAAGGTGGAGAGGATTTTGTGAAGACCCAGAATTCATGATCACAAAAATGCTTTTATAGATGCATCATCAAAGCTTGATTTTGGAACAATGTCTATTGTGCTTTTGAGTGAATATATTGAATGCGGATGGTAAGGTGAAGAAGGCATTATGGATGTGATGTAGAGAGTTTTATCAATAATTTTTAAAGGGAGGGAAGGGGTCTTGATTTTTCAAGTTGGTAATGAAATGGTTTATGATCGAGTCAATGTATTTTTTGGGTAAAGGAAATTGATGAGTCCTAAATAATTTATAATTTATCCATCTTTAGTCGGTTATTGAGATTTGTGGTTCTAACATATTTCCGTACAGCAGAGGAGAGAAGTTGTCTTGGTTTTTATTTAATATTTTTATTTGTTGCTAATTGTGGTAATTATAATAATAAATAAAGATATTACGTAATTTCATTTCTAATTGTTCTTCATTTGATATCATTTTAAGTTGGAGTGCGTGAGAATAACAAGCACCAAATTATTTACATTTTGATACGTTACGAATATCTTCTGGTTTATTATCATTGTCATCAATGATAATTGTTTGAATGAGGGAAATCTGAAAAAAAAAAGAAAAAAAGCTCCCACCTGGGGGTTCTCCTCCTTGAGATTTTTTGCGAACTTTTACAGTATATGTTATTCCTGTACACATATCGACCTACACAATAAACCAATGTGCCTTTCCCAAAGTCGACCACTCTGTAATTGTCAAAACTCCCATTTCTTTTGTGCAGAGCGCTTCCACTTATCATATTTTCGATGGAGGAGATGGTCTTGATGAAGCATGTATATAGATAAAAAAAAATGGAAGTTGTGTTTTTTTTTCTTTTAATTAGCATTCTTCATTTGATATTTCTTTTTTCATTGTTCGAATTAGAAGCCACTCCTTAAACTAAAGTTTAATTTCTATTTTAAAGAAAAATTTTTTTTATTTTTGTAAATTAATCAAAATGTTGAAAGACCAAACATAAATTTATTTATACAACCAAAGGAATGGAATGTATGTATAATAAATACCAAAACCAATCAATTCATACTTGTTTTTTTTTACTGATCTGACATCTTTTCAGTATTTATATAAGAACCTCTATCCATTTAAAAAAAATTTGGCAGCACTTTAATGTTAATGTTAAATACAACAACAAACATTTTCGAAAATTCATTTTTAACATTGCAAACTAATTGAGTTTAATTGTTTCTTTGTTGGGAAGTTCAATGATTTTGTGTTGCATGCTATTTTTATCGATCTCATTTCAGATTATTAGTGACATGGTTTTCTTTTTTCACCAAAAAATACCAATAGTTTCTCACGCTAAAGTTATTTTTTCAAAATAGAAAAACTAGCAAAAAAAAAAACATGTCAACTCAAATTCTTTCTGAAAAACTTCAATTTGGAACCAAAATCGAAGGTCATGTTAATATTGACAATGTATACAAAAGAATTTTAAGATCAAATAAGATTCATGCAATTTCAGAACCAAACTCTATCAACTCTCGAGTTATTGAAAGAGCTCCAACTTCAAATGGATTTATTTCTGCTTTTTTTCAAGCTTATAGTTATCATCAACATTTAAAACTTTCACCTGATGATATTTGGCTAGCTATTGCCTTGGGAGTCAGTCAGCATATTAATTTTAATTCGGAAAAATATCGTTATGTGTTTGTTGAGCATGAAGGCAAAAAAGAAATTAATGTTTATGTTGATGGCCTTTTGGATTTTAGTGGTGAATGTATTGGAGGAAATTGGGACCAAGCGGTTCAACAGTTAACTGATGCAACTGATAGTCAAGTTAAAGATGAAGTTGGAATAAAAAGATTATTAGAATGTAATTTTACAACTACAACTCCTACTACAAAAACTGCTAGTAATATCGTATTATTAGATACTGTCAAGTCCTATTTTGATTATAGAATATCAACTTGTTGTGGCATTCCAAAGATCACTTTGACCGGTACTTTAGAAGATTGGATGAAAATTCAAGAAAAATTAGTTCAATTACGTAAATTAAATTTGGATTTAGATTTTTGGTTAAATAAATTAGATCCAATTATTGGGGAATTTGTTTCGACTTATAAAGGTGAAATACATGAAGATTTTTGGAGTAAAGTTTTGTCTTACCAATCTTATGGCTCTGGCGAGCCTACTTTAAGTGGTTGGATTACCACATTCTTTCCTTATACTTGTGATGGTCATCCTTTAGGAGGAATCGCGGAATTAGGTGATTTACCTTATGGTCGAGTTAGTGTACCCTTTATCGGTAGTTTTGATGAAGTCGGCATGGATTTAAAGCTACAACTTGTTACAGGTTTTATAGGCCACAAACAAGAAAGTGTTAACAATAATGATGGTGATGTAGAAATTATTGTTTCACCTGTAATTAGTTGGGCGATTGCTGAAAATAATGAATTACAAGCTGACAGTTACAAAGAACTAGGATATTAATTTTATCATTATTATTACCTTTGCTTTTGATTTTATGTTTTATATTTTTATTGTTATTATTTTTAAAAATAAATTAAATGTGACTTTGTAAAAAAAAAATCAAAATAATAGTTTAACATTATGAATAATGAATATGAATTCAAAAATGTTTTGCAAAGTTCTTTTAACAGTTGAATTTACTTTACAATTTCGTTTTTTAGTGCTTGTCGATTTCTTTTCTTTCTCCTCAATATACAGTCCATTTTCTCTATAATGGATCTTGGACTGAGAATTTAAGCCCAATTTATATGTCTCGTATTATTACCGTTGACTCTCTCTATAACAGACATGTATATTATAGAGAGAATGAATTTGTATACATTTGCAAATTATCAAAGAGAGGTCATTTTGCTTCAAATAAATATATTTTACTTTAATTGACGATCCGTGAATGAATGAGAGGATTTTTGTGTGATTGGTGGGGCAAAAATGTAAAAAAATCACCAATCAATAATGTTTAACAAACAATAAAGCACAACGTTTCTGTATTACAAACTTATTCTTTTTATGTTATATATAAAGTAAATCTCATAGATTACTGTATTAAAATATTAAAGGGTTTGGAATGTTTCTTGAAAACTTTTGTATGTAGGTAATATATAAAAATTCGGAATTTTTTAACTTTCAGCCAACACTATCAAGTATTCTGACCAGATTTAAGCTCTTTTTTTTATCGGTTTATTAACAAAAAAACTTTTATTTAAATTAAAACCCCAAAGTCGAAATGTTTTGACTTGAGGAAACTACATAGTAAAAATCAGTTTCGACCTTATTTTGACCCTATTTCGACCAGATCTGCAAATGGTCGAAATAGTTTCAACTTCATGTATAATTACAACAACCAAGAATCATCTCCCCACCAGTAAAGCATACTTTTTCTTTCAAGGGGCCTTTATTGAACCTATTTTTAATTTGGTTGAAAAAGCACTTAACAAATTCCTTATTGAGAATGAACATATAATTCCTTCCACTGTCACCAAGACCTTTGCCTCCAAACATCACATAAATCCAGATTTTGATAATGCAGATACTCAATGTATGCTTAATTTCATAATTGAGAATATAAAAATTTTTGACAAATCAGTATTCCACAGTCAACATAAATCAAATCCAACTCAGCTTTTAAAAATTATAAGAACAATGTTAGGAATAGGGTAACTCATGGAACTTTAATAGATCAAAAAG